AGTCATGAAAGCCAGCTGGGTAACCTTGGACCAGTCATTCTCTTTCAACCCAAGCCCCACCTCACAGGGTTGCTATTGTGGGGAAAATAGGAAGAAGAAGGCATATCAGATATGTTTGCCGTCTTGAGTTATTTACAGAAATAATAAAGATGGGGTACAAATACAATTAAAAATAAAGATAAAACAGTCCCATCCTTTGACAATAACTACAACCATCATTCATCCAATATGACATCACCATAGCAGCAGCACATTTTCAGAGCTCACTTCCATCCTAGCCCAAAACATGCAGGAAAAGCTTTCACTGCCTTCTGGAATGCTAAGAGGGTAGTAGGCCACTGGATCTCTGGAGGGAGGCTACGCAGTTCAGTATGCCAATTATCCTTTATAAAACCCTATATGTCTCAAGAGTTGCTTATCTCAAGACCATTGTCCCCTTAGAGATCCTGAAACACATTCCAAGAACATGCTGAAGGTAAATTATAGCTAGACTTTACACGAATATCCAGTAATCCTAGATGATATTTGACAGAGCTAAGACTGGTTCCATTTGGATCTTCAAGGCAATAAAAGTATTTGTGGAAACCTAAAACTATTACCTATAAATTTTCTATTGACAAGAGTATCAACATTTTTATATTTGGTTTCATACTATTATTCCTTTTGCTGCTCTTCCCTCAGTGTCATTTTCCCTGTTTGTATATTTTTCTTGGTTGAGTCATATATGGAGCCATCATAATGCCATATGGAATGACATATGTAAGGCATAACAATGTACATGAGTGAATATTTCTACAGGCATTCCTTTCAAAGTACCGTATTTGCCGGCGTATAAGACGACCCGGCGTATAAGACGACCCCCCACCACCACCGGAAACGCCCTCCAGAAATCCCCGGGGCTGCAGCGGCAGGGCAGAGTGCCAGGGGCCGTGGGAAGAGCAGGAAGGCTGCAGCCTCGGGCGGAGCGAGGCGAGCGGGATGAAGCGGAAGCGACGCAGGGGATCCAGGAAGCCAGAGGCGCCTTCGCTGCGTCCAACAAGCATCCGAAAGCCGGCAGTGGATATACCGGCGTATAAGACGACCCCCCCACTTGGAGGCATGTTTTTCGGGGCAAAAAAGTCGTCTTATACGCCGGCAAATACGGTATGTGGAAATTAGTTTTTTTAAATGCCAGGAGCATTTTCGGCTCATCCAGACTTTAAGAAACTCATTGGGATGCAGACTTACAAATATTTACATGTTGTCCTAACAATCTTTTTTGTAAAAAAAAACTACAACTATTTCCAATTTGTTAACAAAATTAGTCACAGTACAATCTAATTGGTTTAGCAATCAAATAGCCTATTATGCACCTTGGAGAAATTATATTCCTTGTATGCCCATACAAAAAACTGATTTCTCCTCTAATTGCTGAACATCAGGCTTTCTGTGTTCCTGGGTACGTCTTCAAAATGCTTCTTTTATAAGACGTGACACCACTATGATCTCTGAATTATAAAAGAAAGAGTTTTTAATTGACCAAGAACAAACATGGGCTGGACTACACATCATCTCATTTTAGAATCATTTTGTTTCCTACCCCTGCCCGACCCTTCCTTAGGAATACCTGCTCAAACTTGCATGTAAAATCCAAAGAGACATTAAATGGAATAAATCAAGGTTAAGATGCAGTTACACCTTCTGAAAATTAATAATTGAGAATGAATTCTATTCCATGGTTCCTCTTGGACTATTTTTGCTGAGTCATACACATGATCTAAGAGTACTGCCAATCTTCAAAAAGCTACATCGTAGAACTGGATTACACTGAATATTATTAACCCAACAAGTGGACCAAATAAAGTAAAAATTACATAAAATTTCACCAATGAAAACCCTTATTCCATTTATTGACTAAAGTAGCAGAAATGAAACAGAAGAAAGCATCATGAAAAGTCTTTAGTCCCTACAGGTAATTCAACATAAAATGACACTTTTCTTTCCATAAATCTAAAGACCTGCTATAAAGAAGCTATACTTTAAAGCAGACTTAAAGATGCTTTTAGATAAAAAGTATATTTTTCCTACAAAGAGAACTTGCATTTTCTATGCTAAACAAATTATCTCTGAGGAGTACAACAATCATCCTTACCTTCAAGATCTGTTCTTTAGAAACTGTATCACAAAATGACAGTTTATGTGCGATATATTGTCCCATAAATATAGAAATTTTTCTAGCGTTCATCCATTTTGGCTAAAAGTCATATAGTATAGTGCCGAAATCCTGACAAAATGTACATTTAAAATTATCTTTAGAAAGAAATGAAAACTGTATATATATCAATATATATGTGTGTATTGGTGCAGTAAATCAAATTGTTAGTAAATACTGGAGAAATTAAATATTTTGGCTAAACTATAATAATCTAAAATCTATAATGGCTAATTATAGTTTGCCCAACATTAAATTTCAGCAAAAGAAAGAATTTGCACAATGTAGGATGCAAGACAAAAATATCCACATCCGTTCATTCTAGGAATAACTTAAAGTAAAAAAAATGTCTTTTAATCTCTGCAAAACAAACTATTTTACAATGTTCTCTTTCCTAACTTGCAGAATTAAATTTGTAACTTTTTCCAGAGTACTTCCACCTTGAGCTTTGTTCCTTTAATTCTTTTGTCAAGACTACCAGCAGCACTTCCTTTTCAGCAGAAGCCACATAAGCAGCAACTGAAGGCAAAGTTCAACCCTGGGATGAGAAGGACTGGGGAAAGAAAATGAATTACACCACTTGCAAGCAAAGCATAAGAGAACAAAAAAAAAAAGGAAATGGAGAAACAAATTAACTTGAGATAAAAGCATTAGTAAATGATGTGTAAAAACTAAATCAGCCCAAGTCTGAAAATTAGCAGCACTTACTAATCCAACAAGCCATTGACTCATAAATGGCATGGCTATTAATGCCTTTGATGACAATAATAAATCTGTTCCACTACTATTTTTCTGTCGTTAATTAGATTGTAAGACCATACAAGTAGCTCCTCAACCTCATCCAGCCAAGAGGAAATATTTCATTTAGCTTAGGAGAGAAAAATCACCTTTCTAATTGTGCATCAAGGTCGCAACATGTGGGCAGCTTCCTCTCCATTAAGTCATTTTAATTCATTGCACTGAAACTTCTGTTTTCCCTCTGCATATAAACAAGAAAAAATATCCTTAACAAGAATATACTCGAAAGAAACTGAAGATTAAGAATTTTTGCTTTATCACCAAGGTACTTAGAAGTCCAGCTATAGATAGTATGAGCATTAATTTGGCTGATAGCCTATCCCCAACATTTTAATTGTATAATTTGCTGGAATATCATCACATCTAGAGAAATGGCCTAGCATAGCACAGCACAATATGTCTTAAACATTAATTTGCCATGCAACAATTCTCATTACTGTTCTGTAAGTTGGAGAAATCAAGATTCCTTCATGCATGTTATCTTGCACATTACCTCTTGAGTTTATTTAAGATATCACATAGAAAGGGCATAAATCACAAGTCATAACAGTTAAAATGCTACTTTTTAGTAGAACTAACTTGCACATTCTTTCCTAGTGGGTATAAATCAAATTAGATAGATGAATATGAAATAGGTCTTGTGTTCAAGCCATAATCCTGCATTATACAATATACAGCTTGTGCTAAAGATTTTCTGTTGGAGTTGCTTCACAAGCATTGCTCCTATGCATTATTAATGTCAGTAACTGAACTGATGAGCAAGTTCTCATATAGCAATATATCTAGGTTTATTGTCAGTTTTATAATCGGCACAGAGGACATCCCATGACATGATATGTTTTCACATTTATTTTATATAGTTTATCATATTCATAATGAAATTCCAGAATGAATACTAAGACAGACCCGCTCCCCTTATCCAATGTCATTCTGTCGTTTACATTTTGTTTTTCAGTAGGTTTTTTGTTTTTTTGCTTTCCAAATTCTAACTATAAGAGCTTTACCATATTAGCTGTGTCTTTCTCTGGCAATTATTCTTTTAGATTCAAGTGCTTGGTACTGTTGATTTAATCCCAAAGGTGTTTTTTTCAAGAGGAAACTGGAGTTTCTGTTTTTTCTTTGAAGATGTTTCACTTCTCATTTCTTCTGATGTTTCTTCAGCTCTGAAGCTCTGTTGATTTAATGTTTCTTCTTTCTTAATATTGTAAGTCCCTTAAAATATTTTATGAAAAGTGTGGTAAATATTTGGATCAAAGACGTCAGCAAGTATTGCAGTGCAATTGGCAAAAGAAAGCTCAGGACCATATTGGTTGGAAACATGCAGAAGAGGCCTTCATCCTGCAGTGGATAGACAATGGCTAAAATGATGGTGATAATATTGTGTATTATATTTGTTTGTTTGTTTATATCCCACAATTATTTTTACAAAAATAACTCAAGGTGGTGAACACATTCAGTACATCTTCCTCCTCCTATTTTCCCTAAAACAACAACCCTGTGAGATGAGTTGGGCTGAGAGAGAGAGTGACTGACTCAGTCACTCAACTGGCTTTCATGGCTTTCAAGCCTAGTGCCTTAACTACTAGACCAGACTGGCTCTGTGTGTGTGTATGTGTATGTGTGTGTGTTGTGTATACTGGTGAAGTGAATTCTCATGACCAGAGTATATCATCAAAACTTGATTCTGATTTTATAAAGAAACTAGGAATACATTTAGAACATCAAAACTATAGCTAACAAGTACAAAATGTTTGTGTGTTTGTGACTTTTGTGTGTATGTGTGCGTGTATGTGTATCTTAATAAAAGTCTCTTTCCAAAATATTATAGGAAATATAAGAGTAATCTTAACATTCATTTTTGAGTCATACACAAATGTACATGAATTCCATTAGTCAGTCAATGAAGGCAGAGGTGGGCATTGAAGGGATCTGGATATGATTAGCATTCAAGTAGCCATCACTGTCAAGGTTCAATCCCTTCAGAACAGTGACTTGGGGAATTCTTGTTCTCCTTTTCTATTTTGTTATTGCTTCATTTGGCCACAACACATTGTCTGTATGGAAGCAGTAAAAAAAAAAAGATGACTTTTTGTCACATACTTTCCTTGGGTAGCTGAATCTAATATAGTCCAGTTGAAAGTGAATTATGAATGGAAAGAATTGAAAAAGGTCCATCATAGACATTTTGCTTAAGAATTAACTCTATTAAACTGATGAATATGTTCTCTTTCTAGCACAATAATTGTTCCCTTCCATTATGCAATTAGCTGAAAATTAAATTACCTGAAAGAAAAGGACTGATGACAACACAGAATAACAAATAAATCCATAACTAATGAAAATAATTGTGACAAGTAAGCTCTTGAATATATTAAAAACTCTGGTGTATTTACATACAATTTCCTATCCTTATTTTACAATAGTATTTTTATTGCCTAGTTATGATGCATTTACTTGAAAAATACATAAGAAGACATATCATTCACATCATCTGCCTTTTGAAAAAGAGCTAATTTCACACTAAAATGCATAAATAGAAGGGATGATTTGTGTTTGTATTGGTGAACAGAGAGTTCCAAGAAATCAACATTCTTGTTATAGTTAATTGAAAGCTGAAGTATTTTCTAGTTGTTCTTAAAATACAACAAAAATCAAATAAAAGGCCTGTGAGAATCAATGCTGACCTGATTTGAATTAGAGAATGATGTTTGAAGAAAATGTCTTACTTGATTCAAGGTTGCCATTTGAGATCTGAAACAAAACTGATTCCATTTAAATCAATTTGAAAGGAGGTGTATTTATATATATATAAAGGTATAATGGGTGAGCACCAAAATGTCTTCAAAATTGCTTTATGTTTTTGCCAAAATGAACTGAAACCAGCAGCAATAATTAAGTCTAAGTGATTCTTCTAAACTCTGTGCTGGATATCTGCAAGGGTTCAATGGCAATAACTTTTGAATCATTCTATCTATACCATTTTTTTAAGCAGAAATGCAGAAAGAACAGCAAAGCAGAAGCCACATTTTTTCAGCAATGACCCAATAGAGAAGTCTTGCTGAACCATGACAGAAAATGTCCTTCTCTAACTTAAACATAGAATTTCAAAGATTTTTAAATAATTCAGCTCTGTGTTATTTTCTTTCATTCTGGAGCATGATACCACGGAGCAATGAAAAGGTCCACTGACTTGCCCTTGTGTAAATTTTATGCCCCCATCGCTGATTTTTTATGAAGTGCAGAGAAAGTTGGAATAAGCTTGGTCTTCCCAATAAAAATAAAACACTTATTCCAGTAATTGAGATAGAGTGTAAAGGTGGCAGGGCAGGGCAAGTTAAATGCATCTCTTCTGATCAGATCATCATTCTGTCACGGTTATGATCCTTTAGCAACACTCCTGCATCTATTCACACATTGCTGAGAGATGTAAACTATCTACAATATGCAGAATGTAAATATGAATATTAGAGTTGTTCAGTATTTCTCAATCTTAGCAGTGTTAAACTGTGCAGACTTCAACTCCCACAATTCCTCTGCCAGCATTAAGAACTGTAGGAGCAGAAGTCCAAATAGCGTAAAGTTGCTCAAGTTGAGAAAAACTTGGCTAATTGATGATGAGTGCATTATGAAATATTGTGAACTAATTTGAAGCCCCAGAATCAGCACAGCAGTGTAGCATCCCATTAGCACAAAGGGAAAGTGAATTTAAGGCATATGGTGGGTCACATGAAACAAGCTGAGAGCTGAGAAAGTAGAAAAACCCTAAAGCAACGTTAAGCTAAATGGGTTCTGATTATCAGAGAGTATATTAAGGTGGTAAAATTCATATTTATATTGCTCATGTCAGAATCAGGGTGGTGCAGTGGCTCAGCAGTTAAGACACTGAGCTTGCTGACTGGAAAGCCATCAGCCAAAGTTCGAGAGCTGAGCTCTATGCAACAGGGTGAGCTCCCATCCTTGCCTCAGATCCTGCCAACCTAGCAGTTCGAAAGCATGCAAACATGAGCAGATAAATAGGTAACATTTCAGTGGGAAAGTAACAGCACTCCATGACATCATGCTGGCCATATGAACACTGATATATCTTTCGACTAGTGCTGGCTCAATGGCCTTGAAACAGAGATGAGCACTGCCCCCTATAGTCAGCAACAACTAGTGGAGTAAAGTCCATAGGACTCCATGTCAGTATCAAGGACTCTATCACAATATTCATCCCCATAGCACAGCACAGGATTCTTATATGAAGAAATATTTTTTTAGTATTTGCATATTCTCTGTGGCTATCCAAAAGATAACAGGAAAAAAAAATCAACTCTGCCAAATGTTCTGCAAAATTGTAAAGCATTTTACAGGTAGAATTCATTGAACTTTACTGAAGCAGGTTTGCAGTTGGGTTTGGAAATCTGCTTTGAGGGGGTCATTCTATCAAAGCTTTGTTGAATCAAAGCACCCTTCAAAGCTTTGCACAGCCCTGTTCATAATTGAATGCACAAGGTGAGGATGCTCTTTTTTTCAAATCAATAATTGATTATGACAAGTCCCCAAATACAGTCTGTCCTTGACAGCCAGCTGATTGCAGCTAAAACGATGAAAAGTAAGGTAAAATGAAAATGTGAGAACAAATTGGAGGTGAGCTGATATTGCTTAGCATGAAAAGCATTAAAGCGTCTACCCAGAACCCCAATACTCAAACATCTGCCTTTTCTTTTCTTCTTCTGGTATAATAGATCCTACCATCAGTGGTGGGATTCAAATTTTTTTACTACCGGTTCTGTGGGCGTGGCTTGGTGGGCGTGGCTTGGTGGGCATGGCAGGGGAAGGATACTATAAAATCTCCAGTCAGAGGTAGGATTTGCCGGTTCTCCGAACTACCCAATTTTTCTGCTACCAGTTCTCCAAAACTAGTCAGAACCTGTTGAATACCACCTCTCCCTACCATGATATTCTAGGGTCACAACCAGGGATGGACAGTAGATCTATCTGTTATCTAGAGTACTTCAGACTAAGTGCAATGTTGGGCTCATGGTTTTTTTATAGGACATTAAATTTAAAATGGTTTTTCCATTATTCTGTTGAGTATATGCATTTAAATATAAATAATCCCTGAAACAAAACACAACTAAGAGAACAGAACTGCTTAAAAGTTATTATTTCTTCCTGATGCATTTATCAGACACAAAATTGGGTCTGATTCAAAAACCTACTTACACTTCTTTTCTTTTCTTTTCTTTTTATATTTTTTATTTTAAGACAAACAAACACAGACAATACATAAAAAAAACATAAAACCATCTTCCATTTTGTACATACAGTGTGTCAGTTGGTTTAGAATCTTTTGTGCAATCCTTTCATAATCATTGTTCACAATTTGTATCAATCTCACATTGTCAAACTAACATGCTTATCTATTTATCAATTATTAATTATCCTGCTATTTATTCCATCAATATTATATTATGCTGTCATCATCATATATTATATATATATATATATTATATATTTCTACATTACATTTTGTATCAGTCTATTAAACTTCTATAACAAAATTATCTATTCTGTTACCTTACCATGTCTTTTTATCCAACCACTGATAAAACAAATCCTATATCATATAAAATTGCTTGTCTTCTTGTTCTCTAATTTCAAATGTCAATTTACTCATTTCGGCACAGTCCATAATTTTTTAATAACTTCCTCCTGCATAGGTATTTTGTCATTTTTCCAGTTCTTCGCAAACACAATTCTAGCCGCTGTTAAAACATTTACAATCAAATATTTCAATTCTTTATTGTGTATGTCCGGTATGATTCCCAATAAAAAGATCTCTGGTTTAAAGTCTATATGTTGTTTTATCATTTTTTCCAATCATGTGTGGATATTAGTCCAATATTTCTTTGCGTTCGAACATATCCACCACATATGGTAATATGAACCAGGTATCTGATGACATTTCCAGCATTTATCCGATTTATTCTTAAACATTCTCGCAAGTCTCGTCAAGGGTAGATGCCACCTGTAAAACATCTTATACAAATTTTCTTTATAAGCAGTTGACATTGTCATTTTATAATTTTGAGACCACAATTTTTGCCATTTTTCTAAATCAATCCCATATCCAAAAATTTTCCCCCAAGCAATCATCGTTTCTTTAACTCGTTCCTCCTCCAATTTAAATTCTAATAAATGTCCATAAAGTATTTTAATTACCTTGTCATCAGTACCCACCAAAATTTATCTAAATCAGTCAACTTATCATAAATACCTTCTGTTTAGGGTCTTTATCAAACCTAGATTGTATTTGCAAGTATGAAAACCAATTCATTTTTACACCTTGTTCTTCCAACGCTTGCATAGATTTAAGTTCACCCTTTTCATTCAATATCTCACCATATCTAACTGTTTGTTCCTTTTTATATATTATTGGATAAGAAAAAGCTTCAATAGTTGATATCCATATTGGAATTTTTAAGTAATATTGTCTTTTTATCTTCTCCCAGTTCAAAAACAATGCCTCTCAAATATAATGTCTTCTAAAATATCCCTGTGTTTTAGTTCCCTTATACCAGAGAAAGGCATGCCATCCAAACAACAAGTCATGGCCTTCTAAAGTCAATAATCTACTGTTCCTTAGTGTTATCCATTCCTTTGCCCACATCAAACTTGACACCTGGTAATATAGCTCCCAATTGGGCAAGGCAAACCTTCCTCTTATTCTTGCATCTTGTAACAGTTTTAATTTTATTCTTGCTTTTTTACCCTGCCAAATATATTTCAACACATTTAAATCTTCAAAAAACTCTTTCCCTAATCGAATAGGAATTGTCTGGAATAAATATAAAACTCTAGGCAATATATTCATCTTAATTATAGATATTCTCCCAATCAATGATAGTTGCAGTTTTTCCCATTTTATCAAATCTGTCGCAATCTGCTGTTTGAGTTTAACATAGTTATCTTCCTTCAGTGTACTACATCTTGGTGTAATATGTATCCCTAAATATTTAACCTTGTTCGTGACCTGTATTTTTAAATTTTCTTCCAACTCTTTCATCTTGCTAACATATTCTTTGTTAATATCTTTGTTGTGTCTTTATTTATTCTCAAACCTGCTACTTTTCCATATTCTTCTATTTTTTTTTTATTAATTTGGGTGGTGTTTCCAATGGGTCTTCTAATACAGGGGTCCCCAACCGCCGGTCCGCGGACCGGTGCCGGTCCGCGGAACAAGTCTTACCGGGCCGCTGGTTGCTGGGCGCCGCCATCTTTTTTTGGTAAAAAAGTGCTTCCGGTGAGCTTTTCTGGGTAGAAAGCTCACCGGAAGCACTTTTTCGTCAAAAAAAGATGGCGGTGCCCAGTTGATGCCGGTGCCGGGCCGCGGCACCCAGCTGATGCCGGTACCGGGCCGCAGCGTCAAAAAGGTTGGGGATCACTGGTATATTGTATCAATGGCTTGGATAAATTTTTTACCAAAGCCCATTTGTATCAATTGCAGTAAAATAAATCGCCAACTCACATTGTCAAAGGCTTTTTGTGCATCTAGAAACATCAAGGCCATTTGCTTCCCAGGGTGTGCTTCATAATATTCCAGAGAATTCAAAATAATTCTCACATTGTCTTTGATTTGTCTCCTTGGCAGAAATCCATTTTGATCAGTATGAATAAAATTATTTAAGTATCTTTTTAGTCTTTCTGCCAAAATTGAAGCAAATATTTTATAGTCTGAGTTCAATAGAGATAGGGGTCTATAATTTTTAACTTGCTGCAAGTCTGCACCTTCCTTCAGTATAAGTGTAATGTATGCTTCTGACCATGTTTTTGATATTCTTTTCTTCAACATAACTTCATTCATAACTTCTAAAAGATGAAGATTCAATGTTTCCTGAAAAGTCTTATAAAATTCAAACCATCTGGACCTGGTGCTTTCCCAACATTCTGTTTTTTTAAGGCTTCTGTTAATTCCATCATTGTTATATTTCCTTCTAACATTGTTTCAATATTTTTAGGTATCTGAGGTAGCTTCGCTTTCTGTAGATATTGCTTAATTTTTTCTTCTTGAATATTCTCTTGAAAGTACAGTTTTCCATAGTAGTCCTGTATAATTTTTTTCTTCTCCTCATTTCCATAGCAAACCTGTCCTTCTTTATTTATTAATTGACTAATCTTCTTGCTTCTCTTTCCTTTCTCAGTTTATAAGATAGCCATCTGCCTGGTTTGTTTGCATCTTCAAAGTAATCCTGTTTGGCATTTTTAATTTTTTGTGCTAATTCTTCTTTTTCCATTAGTCCCATTTTATGCTTAATTATATCCATTTTATTTTTAATATCTTTTTTTTTGTGGGGACTTCTGTAAGTCTTTTTCCAATCTTTTATAGTCATTCTCTAATGTCTCAAATGTCTTTTTCTGTTTTCTGTTTCTTCTCCTAGCATAATCTATTATCAAGCCTCTTGTGTAGGCCTTCATCGTGTCGCAGAGATTCTGTAAAGATGTATCCTCTTTTCTATTTTCTTTGAAGAAGAAAACAAGTCCTTTCTCTATTTTCTGTTTAAAGTCTTTTTCTTTCAGTATCATATTATTTAGAGTCCATCTAGATCTCCTCTTGTATCATTTCCAAATAACTGACACTGGATTATGATCTGCCCAAGTGCTTGTTTCTATTTCAATCTGTCGTAGTTAGTCAATAATTCTGCTGACATCCATATCATATCTATTCTAGACCAGGATGTATGCTTGTTTGAATAAAAAGTATATTGCTTACTTTCTGCATTTCTCTCTCTCCATGCATCTTTTAAATTAAATTCTTCTATTATTCGAAGGAAGGATTTTGGTAGTATCTTTCTAACTTTCTTTGTTGTTTTCTGTGTTTTATAATCCAACCGGTCATTAATTATTCCATTAAAATCTCCCATCATACAAATATTAACACAGTCCAATTCAATTATTTTCGTATGTAATTTTCTGTAGAATTCTTCTTGTTTATCATTCGGGGCATAAATTGCAATTAGAAGTGTTTTAACACTGTTATCCATTATTTCCACCATCAGAATCCTTCCATCATCATCTGTGTAGATTAGTTCTGCCAAAATTGTTTCTTTAATATATAATACCACACCTCATTTTTTTCCTTGTTTTAGTTCATGTTGTTTTTTAATATGTACCTCTTGCAAGCAGATTATGTCAAATTTTAATTTTTCTAATTTGTGAAATACTTTCCTTCTTTTTGTAGCCAAATTAAGTCCATTTATGTTAATTGAAATCAATTTTCTTTCATCCATATTGAGCTTTATAAGAGGGTTTTATTGCTCTAATAGATCTCAATTCTCGTTCTCTGGGTTCACCGCCTACTGCATCTTCTTCTTATACACCCCTCTTGAAATTCAATTAGTGACTCTTCCTTTCTTTTTTCTACCTCCTTTCCTCTAAAGTATTCTAAGTAGAATAGCTCAGCTTTTTCAACTGTGTCAATTCTATGTCTTTGTTCCTGCCAAGTGAACAAGAGGCCTTCTGGCATCAACCATCTGTAGTTTACTCCTCTTTTAAGTAACTCTTTAGTCAAGAATAAATATTCTCTTCTCATCTCTCTTACTCTTCTTGGTATCTGTTTCAGCACCACAATTTCTTTGTCTTTATATTTTAGTGTTTTCTCTCTCACCACCTGGAGTATCTGTGTCTTAATAATCTTCTTAGTAAATCTAATGTAAACTTCTCTTGATAGTCTATTCCTTGTTGCATATCTTGTATAGACATGAAACACTTCATCCATTCCATCCATCATCTTTTCTTTGATTATTTCCAGTGCTTCTGCCAATATTTCTGCCATTATTTCAGCAAGGTTTTCATCTTTTCCTTCTTTTATATTTTGAAATCTTAGATAAAATTCTGATTTACCTATTTCCCATCCTAATGGTTCACATCTGTCCTTCTCGACATCGCTCAATCGAATATCAATGTCTCCCATTTTCTTATCTCTTGGTATATCTTCTTCTTCAATTTTTTTAAATTCATATTTCAAAATCAGCTGTTGAATATTTTCTACTTTCTCATTTGTCTTTTCTATTTTTTGCTCAGACTTCTGGATTCCTTGCATAATCATCTGTAATGTCACTTCCTTCTCTTTCTCTTTTTCCTGTTGTAATATTGTCTGTATAGATCATTGTCCTCCAGATGGTGAGGGGGTTGGTATCGAAGGAGCTGGAGCTGTTGTCTTTCTACTCATCTTATAATGCTTATCTGTAAAGAAAGAGAGAGATAAAAAAGGAAAAAAGAGGAAAAAAGGAAAAAAGAGGAAAAAAGGAAAAAAAGGGGGGAAAGGACGAAGGCAAACAGTTGCCACACCAAAGGAAAAAAGGAAAAAGAAAGTCTTCAGGCACTTGTACACCTTAATCCAATTAGTTACAATGGTAAAAGTAAAAAAATCAACGATAAAAAAGGGAAAAAAGAGAAATATTCTATATGTTACTCTTAATAAACAAAAAGAAAACAAAAATAAAAGATTTACATTCTGGTTCCTGGTTTAAAAAGTCAAAATCCAATTAAAGAGAAAAAAAGCCCAACTAGTGGGGGGCGGAGGCAAAAAGTAAGAAGCAATTCTAATATAAAACAAGCCTCTGCCACCAAATATCCAAGGCTCTTTGATAAATCAAGCTCAGGGTTTTTCAAGGTCACTGTTAGGAATATAAGTCACCTAACAGTTATTTGGGTTGGAAATATATAAACCAGGATAGACATTTTAATACTGTATCTTTAAGAGAATCCTAAAAATGTAATTGGGTGTGGTTCCACAAATGGCCATAAGATGGAGCCAGAAACCTGGGTTGTTTAATCTCAGAAGAAGTCTCAGTGAGTCTCTGTTTCTTCTGTTGGAGAGAGTTGCCTTTCCCTCCTAATGTTTGTTACTGATTGTTGATGTAAGTCTGTTACTGAACTGTTTTTTGATACTGGACTTTGATATTTGGATTATCCCTGAACTGAAAACTGACTGCTTTACCTGTGAATGACTTGGACTGCTTATCTTGGACTGTGCTTAAACGTTTATTGAAAAGTAAAAACCTACATTTACTGTATAGTGTATCTGTGTGCTGTGTGTGTGTTATTCTTCACTTCTCTCACTACATCTCCCTGTATGTGCTCATTCTCCTAATGGGGAATTACCTCAACAGTCACTTCAATCTTCTTTCTTTCAACTTCAACTCCAGACTCCAGCTATCTGTTCACAAATGAGCCCCTGAATAAACAAACTGCCATGCTCATCTCTATCTTTTCCAATACACAGCTCGGAGTCCTTGATTGTAACACAAACTAGTGAAAGAAAAAAGAAACAATGTATCCAAGACTCTGGGTGGCAGTGCTACTTACTTTCTTTCACTTTCACTTCCCCCTCCTCAATCTACAGCCAGAAACTAAAAGAAAAAAAAGTAAAATATTTTCCCTCTTTTTTTTTAAAGGGAGAAAACTAAATCTTAAATTAAGCAGAAGAGTCTTAATCAAAAAAGAATTTTCAAAAGGATTGTTAAAAAAGTAGAAAGAAATACAAACAGAAATAGAAAAGATTAAAAAGTACCAGTCCAGCTTAAAGTTAAACAGCTTTGCCAAGTTCAAAATTCCAATAAAAAGGGAAAAAAAGAAAAAAAAATTCACTTTGACAATTAATCATGCCGCTTAAACTCTTTCCTCTTCACTTTTAGTCCATTTTAATTTTTTCAGGATGTTGTCTCCAATAAATAATAAGTAAAAGTTCAACTCACCAAACTGACATACTTTCTTCCAATTTTTTCCGTTCCAGAGCTGTCCCAGCTTCAGCATCTTGGGAGGTGCTGGCCAAAAGGACTTTCCCTGGCTGCTGGCAAAAAGGGCTTTCCCTGGATCAACCAGGGACTTTGCAATGTCCCTGGGATCAACAGGACGTGCCCTTGTCAATCACCGTCTCTACAGGACAGTTTAGGTCCGTGGGGACCGACCAGCAGCTGAGATATCGATGGTGATCGATATCGAGGATCAAGATCACCCGTCCAACCGCCGCGATGCCAGCTCCGGCCCCCTCCACACTTCTTTTCTTATCTGCCTCAAGAAGTATCTTCTTTTCATACACCAACAAGCTTCCTCAAATTAGATCAGGAAAAGAAATTCACATATCAGTTATATAAAATGCTTCTACTAATATTTTAATTAAAGCAATCATGTCATTTTAATAGTACCCAATCCATAGCTTTAATGGAGTGATACACATTACACATGTGAATATGAATATGATGATCCATATTAGATGGCATATCAAACAATCAGAGTGTTTGATAGACAATCGCTACTTTCTATAATGTTGTTAGGTATTAAATTGACCAAATATATTTTTTTATCAGAATGTACAGGGTCTCCTGCTTGAGTAGGGGGTTGGAGTGGAAGACCTCCAAGGTATTTTCCAAACTTATTATTCTTTGTTTTAACTCCTGGCTGTATGTATTTACATCAGTTACTATCTTGGTCTACCCTCCGATACTTCTCATCAACTGGTTTAATGGGAAACTAAAGATGAGGGAGACCATATCCTGACAGCCCAGGAAAGAATGTTAGTCAACATAATTACCTCTTAACTCTAAGTAGGAATCTAGAGATAGTAGTGCACCCATGTAGTCTCTTCGATGCACCCATATCCAGTAAAGAGATAGTTAACTTTAAGATGCATGGCCAGCTGCATACAAATAAGGGCTGTGGTTTATGGCTTTGCTCATCCTTTCCTCAGAGAGGAAAGAGAGAAGTAAAATTGCTATAATAAAATGTATGCATCAAAGCAGAACTAGACACTTCCCTCGATTTGTTGAATACTGAACTCAAAAGCCATTACTAGAACTTTGCTTTCAAAAGAATTGTATTTATTTTATCATCATCCTTCTTCTCCCAAAAAATCCCCAGCATAATTTTCTGGCTAAATAAATGGAAACTAAATACATATCAGCCTTATAACTGTAATTCCCTTTCTGTCAAATATAATTTATCCAGCAGCATCATAACACAAAAAACTACATTTTATTGATTGTGCTTACAATTCTACTTTGTAATGGAACTGGGGATAAAGCTAGATTCTTGGGGACTGTCTTCCAGTCAAGATATTGACTAAACTGGACTTGCTTAGCTCCAGCCAAGTTCCTACATCACATTCCCTCTGCCCTTGTCTGCATCAGCCATTTATGTCAATTCAAAGCAAAGAAACTAGTCAATCAGGATATGTCATCTAGATATAGAATATCTGATTCAGTTTCATGTGTATGAGTTCGGCCTTTACATCAATATTAAGATGAAGGCTGATTGACAGGTATCTGGGTTAAGCTGCTTTGAAATCTAACAGCAAGTTTAGCCAACTTCGTTATATTTTATCTGTTAAACAAGAGGAAGATATTGTTGGATTTCTTTAATGGCAAAAAAATTGCAGAAGTTATATATGCAAAAAAAAAACTAGATGTCAAATTCTATGATGGATTGGTTATGTTTTTTCTAATTTTGCCTAGATGTTAAAGCACCAGGCTAGCAACCAGGAGAGTTCAGTGAGTTCTAGTCATGCTTTTGGCATGAAAGCCAACCGGGTGACTTTGAACCAGTTGTTCTCTCTCAGGCCAACCTACTTCACAGGGTTGTTGTTGTGAAGAAACTAGCAACAGAAAGGAGTATTGGGTATATTTACTGCCTTGGGTTATTTATAAAATCAAAAAAACAGGGTAAAAGATTAAATAAAGAAATAAAGCTAATTTTCTTGCCAGACCAGGACATTTTACAGAGTTTATCAGATTGCAACAGCAAAAATAATCATTCTAATTTCTTATATGGGTTACTTATAGGCCAAACCATCATGTTGCTGTAGAGTAAAACTGAAACTTACTTGGTTTTTATTGTAATAGCCATATTTTTATTTATTTATTAAATTTGTCTGCTACCAATCTGACTGCAAGGCAACTCTGGGGGGCTTTTACCTTACATATATTCTATCTCTCCCTGCCAAGCAGAAATGGCTTTGTTGTATACTTAACTCATCCATTAACAATAGAAAACAAAGTCTAATTTTATCACGAGGGTAAGTTACTGCAGGAAAAATATCCCAAAGGTCTTCAGCTCTGACAGGATAGTGGAGAAGGGAAGGATTTGAAGCTAAAGAAGCTTCTTGGAAGAGAAGCAAAACATCTTCAGAAGAAAAAAAACAAAAAAAGTCCAGTTGCCTCCTGAAAAAGCACCTTTGGGACAACCAAGACCTGGATGATTGAGAATCTCTACAGACTTTCAGGAAAAATAGTTATTTTCCGTCAAATAAAGACTGAATTGTTCCTCTCATTAGGAACCTTACAAAATATTCGTGCTGCTTCAGATGAAG